AATTGGTGTAATGTGAAGGTACCGTAAAGTACCGTTGATCCGCCCCCACGCCATGTCGCTTCCCAGCTGGGTTTTCGGCAGGGGGCGGGAATTAGATCAAGGCTGTCAAGTCCAGTACGATGTACAACAACGTAGAGGATCAGACTCAATGTGCTTTTTTTTTTCTTTTTTTTTTTAAATGTAACACAACTATTTATTGCACTCAGAAAAATAATAAGGCACCCATTTTGATAGTCCAGGGGATGGCCCGCGCCTGGTAAAAAGAATAAACAGAAAAAATTGTGCACATGTTCATCCTGGATTGGCAAGTATTGTGTACAGCAGTGCATGCGTCGGTTCAACATCGTATTTTCGTTGTATACGCCGAAGTCGCTTCACAAGGAGAAAATCGACAGGGGGGCGGATCAACGGTACTTTACGGTATATGTATACCACCCAATGAACACCCAACCGGGGATGTTCACACCCACTGGGTTATGGACACCTGTACAATGTGCATACTTTAGTGTCTTGTATTTAAAAAGCCTGTCTTGTATAGTCAATAGAAGCCTGGTTTCCATGCTGACATACAAATAAATACCTGGTTGAAGTATAAGCCTGATACACAATACACGACATTACGGTACATGCATACACCCTTCTGTAAAATGTACATGCATCCACACCAGATATACAATCATGACTATGCAGGTTAAACAAAGAATAAGAATATTATAGTCGTGGATAGTTGCTGCATAACTCGTTCTCATGTATTTCTTCTCTTTTTTACATGTATTACTGGCTCAGTATCCGAGTTTAAATATAAAGGAAGTGTATAATAATTGCTCGGATACAAATGTAAAATAGAAGAAAAACACTACGGAACGAGTGATGAAGCAACTATCCATGGCTGTAACAAGATAATAAGCAGTCAGAAAGTGCGCTAACAGGGCACAAAACTGAATGTCACAGTAGCCTGTCAGTTGTGTGCCCTGTTATCGCACTTTCTGCCTATTATCTTCTTACAGTCGTGGATAATTGCTTCATAACTCGTTCCCTAGTGTTTTTTCTTCTATTTTACATAGAATAATTGCAACAATGTGTCCAGTACAGAGAATGTGTCGAAAATGAAGGAGTCATAAAGGATCAAATCTGCTCTTTCAGAGTTAAAATAAAGTTACAGTCAGAAGACACAGAAGCACATCATACAAATACCTAATAAAAAATAAATAAAAAATCCGACGGGTTCGCGTACCGGGCAGGTCAAGAACAAGGAGTCGTACAACTCCCTGGTCAAGAACCACCTTTCCTCTTCCGTGGGACGCCACCACCCCATGATCAGGCGTCAGATGCGGCTACTAAACGGTGGGGAGGATAGATCAGATCCACCAGCCAGAGGCCAAAGGCCTCAATCCCATACTCATACCTAAGAATCATATAACTACAATATGAACAAAGCAAATGCTAGGTCCTAAATACACATCACTGTCTGAAAGTGAAAGCCTAAGAAAGTGGTGGGATTTAGCCCAATGTAACACACGATAGATGCATTCAAGACTTCTATGGCGTGCTACAATGGTTACCAGGTACAACCACGAGGAGGTACCCACCAATTGTACCCATTTTTTTCGCACCAGTTACCATGCAATCCACATTGGAGGAAGGACAAGTAGGCTAAAGGAAAACACAAACAAACAAACTACTTTTTGGGCATGTTACAAAGATTAGGTTGAAAGCTCACGACGCACTCATGAAAAGTGCATAAAATACCCACTGGGCAAGGTCAACTTACACGCTTCTTCCGCACCTTGCTGAACGGAGTCTGCCGAAACTACATGTACCACACCATCCACATCGGAGGAAGGACAAGTCGGCTAAAGGGAAACACAAACAACAAACTACTTTTGGGCATGCTACAAAGACTACTGTAAAAGCCATTCTTCTAACGAGGCGCATATATAACGATTTCCCAAAAAAATACTGGTCTACGTGTACCAAAGGTAACGATTCTCACTTATTCTCAACACTCAATAGGACAGTATATTATGTATCGATTTCTGTATAACGATTTCTATTTTAACGACAGATTTCTCCTCGTTAACTCGTTGGAGTTATTATTAATATTATTATTATTACGAAGTTTGTTTAGCTTTATTTTACTTCACCAGAAGCACAGGCAAAATCTGCCTTCTCACTGGGCGTATTGCCACAGTTCTCGCAAAATGATGAAGGTGGTGATATAAGAAAAGGAGGAAGAGGAAAATACAATCATGAACAAGGCACAAAGAGAAGACGGAAACAAATCAATGAGGGAGTACTACAAGTAACGAATTGGAATTTGATGAATTTTTCATGAAAATAATGCAACGGATGGAAAGGTTCCAGGGTTGAGAGAATGTTGACAGTTATGCGTCTTTGAGATCTTAGGAGAGGGTAAGAGAGTTTAAGATATCGTTTGTAATTGCTTTCTTAAATGCAGAAGGAATGGTGATGGAGCGGACATCAACGGATGGACTTATCGTGTGCTCTGGATGGCAGTCGTGAGTCAGTCAAGTGTCAAGTAAAGTCGGCGGAATAGCGTGAGCTCCAGTGTGGGGAGCAAGCCCTTTCTTGCAAATTATTATTATTATTGCAAATAACGCTGAGTGAGTATACTGTACTGTAATAATGATACATGTATACAGTCATGACATTGTACAGATAGTTGACGTAGACTTACTGAGTGTTAAAAGCCGCGGACATACATGATTGTACAAGACTGTAATACCAGCAAATACATGTATGCACCACTATTCTACTAATAAACTACAGCCGAAAACTACGAAGTCGAAAGCTACACAACAAGTGGAACGCATTGGGCACATTCAGATAATTTGCAAAAAAAGGTCAGATAGAGAACAGTACTTGCGTGACATAACAGCAGAACGAACAAGGCAGACTCAAAACACTCCAACACTCTGCAGCAAGATAACACTGGCAAACCGTGATGCAGTTCACACAGCGCTGGACAAACTTTGCTACCGTCAATGTATCCATAGTGACCTCCTGAAAATGCCAGGAAATGTTAAATTTTGAATTTTCCTTTGTTCAAGCACTGCACTTGCAGGCAAATGAAACGTCATCAAAAAGTGTGGATCACGACCGCGGTACCACGAATGGCAAGTGTCAGTGGAACCGCGCTGCTCCGCTGCATGTACCGCGGAGTAGCGGAGCCGCAGTGGAACCCGGGCCTTAGGCTGTGTTAACATGAGAATTTTCAACCCGGGTTGAAAGTCTGTACAGTCATGTATGGTGGAAAATTAGGTGCGTGCTTACATCAAGAGTACATAACCCCCCAGAGTGTGCAACGCCGATCCAGCTCTGTGTAGGGTCTTGGTCGAGCGGAATCGGATCTTCTGATGTCATGCGTACACTTCACACCAGCGCAAGGCCGGTCCCGAGGCAGGGCACCATTGTTTTTGATCCAATAGTACCCGCGACTCCCCGGGTTCCCCTCAGATGTGTACGGTATTATGACGCAAAGATCCGATTCCGCTTGACCAAGACCCTATGCAGAGCTGGATCAGGCGTTGCACACTCTGGGGGGTTATGTACTCTTGCTTACATGTATATGAAGTGAGTTAATCCGGGTCAATTACTGTACTGATATGCCAACAGAAGCCTTGTCAGTTGTGGTCAGTTTTGTGTGTGGGCCTTCATGAAGACGGTTGAAAGTAATAATAATTAAATGTGGTGCACTATAACTCCCTTACTTACACCACACACTACCATCCTCTCGACTTTCACTGATTTGAGACTGAAAATAAATAAATCCAAGTAATATTAGTTACTCACCTCTCACAGACCTTCCTCCCCTCTTATCACGGCCAAGGTGACCAGACATATCATGCGAGTGGCATGGATGCAAGATCTCCTTTTGTTGGCCGTCGTCTGTGATCAATTGTGGTAGGCCTTCATCTGTTTGGCGAAAAAGGACCCCACGATCCAAGACGAAGTAACAACGTTAGTTGACTGCAAAGCGTTTTATTGCTCTACGCCTCTTCGCGTCCGCAGGAAACGAGGCAGGCGTTTGCAAGCAACGCTTGCAAGACTTCGTCGTAACACGCCCGATTACCACCAAGAGAAGACATCTTCAGGACGTTTTGAAGAAAAAAACCGAAAGCACAACTCATGATTGGGAACTGATTTCGCGGATGCATGTCGATCCGCGAAAACGGTCCATAGATGCAGGAAATGTGTGGAACCGTTTTCGCGGAGGAACCGTTTTCGCGGTGAGGCCCCATCCGCGAAAACGGTTCCAAGAGGGCCATAGATGCAGGAAATGTGTGGAAGAACCGTTTTCGCGGCGGAACTGTTTTCGCGGCTAGGGTGGAACCGTTTTCGCTAGCGAAAACGGTTCCAGGGGGTAACCGGTGTATGCCTGGAACCATTTTCGCGGAGGAACCGTTTTCGCGTTTACACCGGCCCCGGTCAATCGACCGGATTTCCATGTCCACTACAGTACGTCAGTAGATCTACATGTCCACTGTACGTAGGCCATGGTAGACGACCTGATGAGACTTGAAAGTGTAGTGCCAGTACTGCAGTAGTCATGGTAGTGGTAGTATAGCTAGAGACGTGGAGCCTAGACGTGTGAGACTGTGAGATGATGAGGGATTCCTGGCTGAGACGCAGCGCTAAAATGAGGTGACATGACGCACGGCCTTGGCGACATCAGACTCGGATATCTAGACAACAAGGAGTGCTGTCAAACGCGAAAGAAGGACTGGTCTTGTTGATTCGATGGACCGAATGCAGTATCGATATCCATGACCATGCCCATGTCCTGATGACGACGTGCAGACCGGGTCAGGACTTATTATTTTTCGTGTCAGTCGTGACAAGTCTACAACGGAGTACTACAACGCCCCAACGGTCGGTCTACCATCCACGGACCACAGCTCCAGCACTGCACTCGTCTGCAGCACTGCCAGCTCGTCAGGCCCCTGCGCACGCGACTACACGTCTACAGAGTTCCCCGGCCCCAGCAGAAAAAAGTGAGTCATGCCACCAGTATCTTGTTTCCGAGGCACTTACTGCGCCGTCCCACGCAGAGCAGTCACTGTTTATTTGGTTTGATTACAGTCGGTAATGGAACAGGAAGGTTGTGTGGTGTTTGAGCTGGTCATTTTGTATAGCGTTTTGTCACGAGCTCGTGCTAGTTCTGCGGGGAAGTGAAGACTCCTTGCGGCCATCACCGGACCGCGGAGTTGGAGGAGCCACTATCAATTGCCAGCTGCATTGTGCAGCATCGGCAGGTAAAGTTTACAATATTTTTGTGTTTCCTGAACATACCACATATGTACAGTGTATCCGGGAATACGTGCGCTGTTACCGCACTAGGTAGAAAAGTGGCTGTAGGTCTACCTGGTCTACCCTCTTAGACTAGCAGACAACCTCGGGGGTGAGGATTCAGCATTTTCGTTTTATAGATTTTTACTAATTTAACGAGTATTGCCTACGAACATGACATGCATATTTTTCTGCTGTTCTACTGTCGTGGACATGGAAATCCGGTCACACGTCTAGCGGCCCCAGGGCGCTGGCCATGCAGCCATGGGTAAGCAGTCTAGTACACACATGCATGACATTATTATGCTGCTGGTCGCATCAACACGTACACTGTTCTGTAGGCGCTGAGGGCGCAGGCCCGGTCAATCGACTGGATTTCCATGTCCGCGACAGTACATCATATACTCGTACATACTACATACTGTATCAAGATCAGGAACGCTGTTTCCCCATTGCAAGACAAAGGTTTTCCCTGACCCCTGTACAAGACAACCCATTGTAAAACATTTTTTATCGAACCCCTCCTATACAAGACAACATGAAACATTGATCGAGCTACAGGAGCTAGAAAAAACAAATCCAGACAAATCACATTCAAACGTTCCGCCTAGCTGCTGGCAGGGGAACATGGGACCATCCGAGCAATTTTGTAGTCCATGGTCATTTGCTTTGTCTTGTAATGACTGGGAATCAAACCTGTGAGACAGCTAAAGGTGATTTTTATAATAATTTTTTTCTACAAAAGAATTGTCTCTTATCCGGATTTGCATATACTGTCGTCCCTCTCTAATCTGGCACCTTTTGCTACGGCGTTTTCTGCTGGATTAACGAGGGTGCTGGATTAAGAAATCCTGCCCTCTGACCCGGCCCTACCCAATTGCATGCATGTATCATACGTCAAAACGCAGGGTTTTTCCGTGTCAACCCAAGTATTTGGTGCACGGCTTTATACTCTCAACTGTTCTCCAGGAATATACACAGTGATAAAGTGATAAAGGAAAACAGAGAACATGTTCACATGTACTCTTGCACACACACGCACACACACACACCTGAAAATTGGCAGCACACTACTCCTTGCTGTCAGCGAATTGTAAAAATATAGCAGTCAGGTCTGCAGCAGTGATTGTGGCACCGCAACTCCAGTCAACTGAACTGAACTCTGAACTGACTGAAGTGCGCGTTACTGGTTACTGCGTTACTGGTTACTGGCCAGACTGGCCTAGCCTGGCCTGGCAAGGAGTGCACCTGTACGGTACGCGATTTATGACCGCCGGATTATGAAATCAAACTACGTGCAGTTTGAGCGATTCGTTTCAAAAAGTCACTGCCGGAGGCGGAATTCAAGTGCCGGATTAAGATGTAGGAATCAAACGAAAAAAAATCGGTTTCGTCAGAAAATGCGCCGGTTGGCAAGGGTTCCGGATAAACAAGTGCCGGATTAGAGAGGGACGACTGTACTACCATTATACAAATGAGAGTCCTCCGGCTTGGTAGAGTGCTCAAATAGAGCTTACACACGACACAGAACACACCACGCATCATTCGTTGCCTATGGGCATGAAACAATAAGTTACAATGAATGATGCGTGGTGTTCTGTGTCGTGTGTACTGCCATTACACAATGTACACATGGTATCAGGGAATTTTAGATCTTTGTCTGCTAATGACGGTTGTTTTGTAACCTATGGCGTACTAACAACGTTAAATCTGCACTAGTACACTCATGTCTCTCTAACCCGGACCTCAAAGTTACGGGCACCTACACTGTAGGTATACCAGGCACCCTGTGGGTGGGTTCTAGTGGTAATATTACTACTCTTCTGCCAACATTTGTGCAACTATAGATGTCATATGCCAGATCTCTGGCCCTTCCACATGCAAACATATGTGATTGAGAGTTATGGACATTTCAGAGTTATGGACAATTCAAAGTCACAGGCAGTGTCTGGTCTGGGATCGCCCGGAAAAGAGAGATACATACTTGCCAACCCAGCCAAAGCAAATCCCTTAGTCACACACCCAGTTTCTCTTAATTTTCTTTCATTTCCCTTATTTTCCTGGTTTTCGCCAATTTCGGCCATTTTCTCTTTTTTTGGGCAATTTTTGATTATTTTTGCGTATTTTCCGCAATCTTTTGGCAATTTTGGGCAATTTTGTATTCGTTTCTTACTCATTGCTCATTGGGGGACCAAAACCTGAGTTTCTTTATTGTCAGATCGCCCCTACATGTACATGTGTGATTCTGTGAAATGCAGGGCCGCATGTGACCTTGTCACACCACAAAACAACCTTTTTATGAACACTCATCATGGTTCAGTGCCAATACCGGTAGTTTTTCGATGAAAGTCAAAAAGCCCCGGTAGGCCAGTAGTGACCGTAGTTTCCCGGTATAATACCGGGAAAACCGGTATGGTTGGCAAGTATGGAGATACAATGTATGAGTGTGAAATTGGCATGGAAACAAGCTTCAAATCTAAAAGAAATCAATAGTTAGGATTCAGCTAGTTAAAAGAACACTTATAAGCAAATATAATAGCAAAAAAAAGAGAACAAATTCTGTTGTCATCGCCACACTACAACGAGGTCATGAAAGTTTTCCAAAATTAATTTTCTTGTCACATTCATCAGTGGAAAGTCGTGACTGAAGAGTAACCATGCTGAACAATGATTAAATATACATTCAATAATGTGTTACGAGAACAAAATAAAGTGCTAAAATAGAATGAGGGAAGGTGAGACAATAGAAGTGAAGTGAGAGCTAAGTGCAACGGCGGGTGAGAAACAAATTGCAATGCTAGAACTGTGTAGTGAGACAAACAATCATGCTGTGCACCTACGAAAACAATATTGTTGCGGCAAGTGAAATCCGACACTTGGCATAAGGGACTGCACCATGCAGTCTGCAGCCCCTGCAGCCCTGCATACGTACAGTACATGTGTTACATACAACTTTATCTGTCTGATGACAAAACTCGTACTCATCGCAGTCAAGGTTCAAAAGGTGCTGGCAAAAATGAGTGGGGATTGGATACCAATACTCCTTATGTGTACAATATTTTGTGAACTGTGTGTATCTACGCTGTGACCTTTCGGTCTGTTTGGGATGCATACGGCTCTATAGTACAAATTAGGTGCAGTGCATTACATCATTGGTGCCCATTTGCACATGTGGCGCTGTCCCCGGTGGCAAGTGTCGGATTTCACTTGCCACAACTGTACATGTATATGTTTCTTCTGCTTACAAACATCAGACTTTTGCAAACGAATGCAAACAGCCTCAAGTACTTTCAACTGACTAGCATACCGTGCACGACAAAGAACAGAAAAACCAAAATCCTCATACGCCTGCAGACACTTAGGGTGAGACAACAAATGAAGAAAAACGGCAGACTTCTTACGATCACAATCACCATCCGATTCCTCGTCTCCAACAACCGCAACCTCGTCCTCGGTCTCATCTTCCAACTCGTCCTCAGTGTCGTCCTCAGTGTCATTCTCCTCATCAACACCGATCGGTCCCAGGCTCGCTTCATGTTGCTTAACCTCTGTTCGTTGACTCCTCCTTTGATCTTGATGGTAAATTGTTACCATTGTTGTTGTTGTTGTTCTTCTTCTTCTTCCTGTTGTTGCTAAATCGTGTGTTCCCAGTGTTTTCGCCGGTGCTTGACATCCAGTACTGTAATAATTCATTGAATAATTCGCCGTTGATCGTCTTGGTCTTTGAATGTTGATCGTGTTGCTTTCTTTGTTGAATTACGTTCCCTTCAGCCTTCTTTCTCCTTGTTCACGTTCAGTGCTTGCCTCATCCATATTTGCACGTGCCACCAACACCACAGACTCAGCCCCAGCACTGCCGATGACAGATGCAGGTGGCGGTTTTGGGGGAGGCAACGACGGCGATGGGGGCATCACCTCATCACAGCGTCCATTTTGGTCTTGAGCTGAATGTTGTTGTGGTGTGCTATCTTGTGTTGTTATGGTGCATTGTGTTATGGTGACAATATGCACATTTTCCGTCTCCAAGGCTCTCGATACGGGTAATGGAGGCACTATTGCCGATGACGGAAATTGTGCTAACGATGGCTGTGACCTAGGGTTCTTAGGTGGCCTGCCGTGTTTGGGCCGCAGTGTCCGTGCCGAGCCAGTCAGCATAATTATGCAGTGGGACGTCATGGGTGTAGGAACCGGTCCGGCAGGCCCGGCGGTCGCCGAACCAATAATTTTCGATTTTTTTTAATCATTTCAAATTTGTTGATGGCTTGTCGACTCTTGTACAGGTACCATGTTTTACATCGACAATGCGGTGTATCATCAGCATGCAAATTCTTATTTCTCACATTATTCTGTAGCATTAAAATATGGCCTTTTAGGCCCAATTTTCAAAAAAAATCGCGCGGGAGGACCCCCGGACCCCCTCTCACAATTTCGCCGCACCAATATTAAACTGCTTCCTACGCCCCTGGACGTGCTGCTCGATACATGTGTTCAGATGTTGAAGAGTCCTACCAACGTACCGACTACCGCATTGTCGGCACTCAAATTGGTATACCAATTTAGATGCGAGTTGGGTTGGTAGGACATCATTCCTCACCTTGAACGCACGTACAGTTGTGAAAACGTCCCACTGCATAATTATGCTGACTGACCGTAGAAACTGGGTTGTATATGCCGACAATAGAAACTGGATTGTATATTATGTCGACCATAGAAACTGGATTGTAAATGTTGACCATAGAAACTGGATTGTACATGCCGACCGTGGAAACTGGATTGTACTTGAAGTACATTAGTCATAGCCCAAATTTGCTAGCAATTCTTTGAGCAAAATATCGAGTTTTGGTGGGCTTTTCAGATAATCCAAGGCTTCTCAGGGACTTTCTCGACGCAATCAGTCCCCAAGGTTGAAAACAAGCACAAAAGTTGGACAAAACAGACTCGTGGCCACATTTTGTAGAAAGTTGAG